TCGAATCTCTTCACGCAACACTTTCCCTCGAAATGGAAGTTAGCTCAACAATTATTCCTCGAAACCCAACTTTTTTTCGCAAATCTCAGCCTTGCCTTTGCAATCGACGGCATTACTTGCTTTAGATTTAAGTAGCCTGCGAGGCTAACAGCAAAACTTGACTGCGAACTTGGGAGTCGGTCTTGAATCGCGTCGGGGGCTGGCGACGTGGAAATTGCACTCCACTCCAGCCGAGTTGAGAGAGCCGTTCAGATCAAATGACATTTAAAGACATCTTTGAGTCCTGCAACATGAAAATAAGGCGACTTGTATCGAGAATCAGAGCTTACTGCTCAAAGGACCGGTCTCCGACTCGGTCTGGATTCGGGTGGGCACAAGAATCCGTTGGTTTTGTGGAGAAGAGTCCCTCGAGAAAAGCGTCTCGGGCTCGGCTAAAGTCCTGGCAACAAGGCAGGTCAGTCAACATGCGATTGCGGAGAACTTGCGTCTGCGTCTGCGACGCGTCGGCCGAGTCTGGCTCCGTCCGACAGCGATAGTTCGGCGGTGGTCTCGTCAGCAGTTCGGCTTCTTGTGCTGTTGCCTGCCGGTCCTGCTGCAACTGACGCAACTGCTGACGTCCGTGTCGTCGTGTCTGGCACGAGCAGCGGGCCTCGTCTCGGCCGACGCCGGGCCAGAGCCCGTGCCACAGGCATCGCGACTTCAGCTCGAGTCCCGACCGGCGGTGCGGCAACCGACGCCGCAGGCGGACCAGAAGCGAGTCCGAGTCGGGCGGCAACCGTCGCGAGGGCACGCTAGTGTCGGAAGAAGCAGCAGCAACGGCCGACGCCTCCCTCGAGCGGTCCGCCTCGAAGCCGGGACTCGAATAGCACCGAACGGTCTCTCGGCTTGATCCGTCTGCGCGGTTGCCGCTGCCCTGCCGACTTGTCCACTCTGACTCGGTTGCCAGGACGACGGGCGCGTTGAGTCGGCAACAGGCTGGCGCCGAACGCCGGTGTCTGAGGCGACCGGCTAGTCGCGGAGTCGACGGTCGTGCGGACAGCGGAGCGATCTTCAGCCCCCGACGGGCATACAGCGTTTGCTCATCCTCCTCCCGACCGCGACTCGAACCAGGAGCATCCAGCGCCCATCGTGGCTCCGTAAAGACGTCGTCTTCACCCTCCTCCTCCTCCTCCTCCTCCTCCTCCTCTTCGGCAGGTACACGTCCCTCCAGACCGTCGGCCGGACCATCCCTGGCCGGTCTGGTGCCCGACTGACCGAGGCTGCTGCAGCTGCGTCGAAGGCTCGGCAAGTGCCACTGCCACTTCGAGCCAGACTGGCCGGACAACCAGCAGCGTCGTCGTGACAACAGACCGACGGGACAGGACTCATCGGCCTGCTTGTCTCTGGTGGCCGGAGATTGCGGAAAGCCCGGATGGGACAGAGTTCTGCAGACACGCAAATCCGCCTCCGAGACGACCGCACCACCACCAGCGCCACTCTCCTCAGACGAGAGTCTGTGGCTGTTGACGTTGTCGGTACCACTCGTGGAGCCGATCTCGGAGCCGTTGTCAGTACTACTCTTCCAACCAATGCTGGCGCCGATGTTGGCCGCGAGTGCGGGGCTGTTTTGGTCGCTGGGGCCGGTAGCTGTGGAGGCGTTGCGTCGGAGACGAGCTACGGTGAGCTGGCCCAGCGACAGGGCGCCCGTCGAGAGGAATGGAAACGAGCTGGTCAGTCGGACGCAAGCAAAGCCCGAGGAGGCGACTGGGTTGTCGTGTCCGGCTTGCGGGCTCGCAAAAGGCGACCAACAGTTGGTGAGGGTGTTGGCGGAGGCGGGGGCGGGGGCGGGACTCGATGGAGGGTCGACCAAGCCAAGGGGCAGATAGTGTTCCGAACGTGTCCTGTTCACATACAGAACGACGAACTGACGCGTCGCCTGGCCATAGTAACGATGCAGCAG